TGAGTAAGAAACACAGCCACCCTGGAAGACTGTGATGGGGTCCCCCTAACCAATTTTTTTAGACTGAAGAAGCTGCTTGGACAAGTAGCAAAACACCTCTAACCAAAAAGAAGTCCAGTTGCCAGGACTCAACCTCCAGACAATTCCACCTGGATGACTGAGAATCTTCATAAACAGATCAGGAAAGCAACTCCAGAAGCAGACTAGAACTAAGCTTGATTGAGATGGGCCATATGAACAGAATCTTGCAGGTCTGATTGGGTTTTTCCTCCCTTATACCCCAGGGAACAAGGGAGAAGCCAGCCTGAGTCTCTTCCTAACATGTTCCCCTTGCCCAGGGCTTAAGGAATGCTTCTTCCCTCGTTGCTTCTGTAGCAGCTTCTGGATATCTCCCTCCAGGCCATCTTCGTTGCTCTGTCCACGTTCTGATGGTCTCATATCCTCTTCTTTCTATTCTTTCTAAGAGGTTTCTATTTCTGAGATCTTTTTCTTTCTTTACATGGGGCCAGCTGGGATGAAAATGGAGGAACAAGTCCCAGCAGACTCTTCCAAGGTGCCAGGAAATCCACACATGTGCTTCAAGAGGTGATTATTGGAAACAGCCCCCAGAGAATATCAGCCGTGCAGATTAAGCAGGAACTGGAGGAGGGTCAATTCCGGCATTGGGAGGCTCGGTGGCAACAGCTTCTGAGGACGCTTGATTCCCCCCACTTGGGGTGGGTCCTCCCACAGTTGTCAGGAGCCCATGCCATGGGACGACACCAAGGCCTTCCTGGCCTCCTTTGAGCAAGTGGCCGAAGCCTGCTGGTGGCCCATGGGAGAATGAGTGGCATGGCTCCTGCCTGCCTTCCAAGGAGAACCCAAGCAAGCCTTTTGCCACCTGGAAGCCTGAGACAGAGAGGATTATGGGCAAGTGAAGGTGGCCATCTTGCACGGGGAACACCCTGAGCCGAGAAAAGCAGCACCAGCGCTTCTGGTGTTTCTGCTGTCAGGAGACGGAGGGGCCATGGGGGGCTTATGCTCAGCTCTGTTGGTGGCTGAAGGTGGAGAAGCTCTCCAAGGAGCAGATCCTGGAGCTGCTGATCCTGGAGCAATTCCTGACTGTCCTGCCCCCGGAGATTTGGGACTGGGTCTGGGAATGTGACCCAGGGAGCTGTTCCAAGGCCGTGGCTCTTGCAGAGGATTTCCTTTCAAAGCAGTGTGAGGCCAAGAAATGGGAACAGCAGGTGAATGGGCCTATCTTAGCAAGCATGGAAGGCCCAAGATCATGGCAGTGGAACGTGGAATCAAAGCAGTGAGCCAACCCTTATGGTCCCAGCTCCACTGATGTCTTCTCCTTGGTGTCTCCGCTAGGACTGACTTGGGGAAAGGTGACTCAGCATGGTTCTCGTGTTTCTCTACTCCAGTGTTTATCAACTATAGCAACTTTAAGATAGGTGGACTTCAACTCCCAGAATTCCCCAGCGAGCATGGCTCCCAGAATTCCCTAACCAACACCAACTAGCAGTCAGAAGACATGATGAAAATTCCTTAATCTCACAACACATGGACTGACTCAACCATAGTTTTAACTGGGAAACTGTCAGCATCTTAGACCAAGCTAAATCCAAATA